TATCCCTTCCAAGGGTCGTCGTTCGATCCCCGATGGTCCAGGTGGTTAGTGATCGTTCCTTCATCCTTTCCTCATATCCCGGCACCTTGCAAGATGGGGGATTTTTTACCACCATTGCTACTTGATTCACTCTCGTGTTCTTGATACTATCTTTAAAATGCATCCGGCGCTAGGCAGTGGAGACTGGTGGTCACGTGGCCCTGTACGACTAACCATCCTGCCAGATGGGAGATGTCTCAGCACCACGCAGCTGGCTCTCTGCACACACGGTGTAATCCTTCACAAAGTCCAGGGTAGTTGCATCAATTCACATGCACGTAATTATGTTGAACAAGGCCTGACCTTTCCTTCCTCTCTGCATTGAGGGTTTTTTCAACCAGTTGAAACCCATCTTCCACACATCTCACCACACCTGACCACTGTGGCACACCCGACCGCTGGCCACATCTGATCACTGACCACATCTGACTACTGACCACATCTGTTTAGGGTAAATTAGGCTAAGTCAATCTGAAAACTCCTTCGTGATCAGTCAGCTTTAGATGCAATGATTTTGTTTTTCAATATAGTGTCATTAGCTAATGTTAAGTGATGTTGGTGGGTCATTAGTACAGGGTAATATGTGGGGGAGGAGGACCAGGCCCTGAGGCACCGCGCCCGTTACTCTCTCCTTCAGCACCAACTTTACCTATTGGGCCACTCGGTCCTTTCTATTCATCAGCCAGTCCTGGATATACTCCTTGATAGGACTACAGTCCTACATAGAGGGGCCTGAATGTACTTCATGATACAGTCCTGCATATATTCTTCGGTACATTTCTATCTTGAACACAGTACTTTATACAGCTTGAACACAATCCGCGACACAATCCAGCGGCGATAAAAGCTGACTAACACTAATCATGCGATTCGCTCCATGAATTTTGTACTCAAAATCATGTTATATTCATAAACCCCCCCAAAAAATAATTGGCAAATCCTAATTTGTTACATATAATTTAAGAATTCTAATCATTGTGGAGGCAGGATTATTTATTACCGAATGTATACTAGTTATGTGCTCTACCCAACTACTTTTTACTCTTGAAATGAACGATCATATCCATAATAATATTACAGTTTTACATAAAGTTTTACACCTAACAGTTTTATACCTAACACTATTTGCATATTGTATTTTGTATAATTCCCGTTGTCGGGGACAGGAAGCCTAAACTTAGGTTTGTATCGAGGTCCACCCCACCCCCTCTAGGCCAACTATTGACTCACTGCTAAGTGAACAGAAGCATCAGGTGATACGATACGTGCCCAACGTATCGTATTTATGTCCCTCTCTTGGATTCATGCATGGATCAGAGAACATAAGACTCTCTCTGTCTCTACATATATATATATATATATATATATATATATATATATATATATATATATATATATATATATATATATATATATAAAACAGTGGATGTTACTTTAGCGTAATATTATCTTATAAGCATATGTAAAAATTAAAATAAAAAAACATAAAATTAATAAAAAAAATAAATTAAAAAATATAAACTAAAAAGCATTTTTATTCACTTTATTATTTTCCATTATAATTTTGTAATTGTTACATATGACTGTGTTAATAAAACATTATTACGGTACAGTAACAAGAGGGCCACCCTTGCCCACATCTTGGTGAGAGGTAGAGGCAGGCCTGGGGGAGGGTGGTAGAGAGGCAGGCCTGGGGGTGATGGAGGTAGAGAGGCAGGCCTGGGGGAGGGTGGTAGAGAGGCAGGCCTGGGGGTGATGGAGGTAGAGAGGCAGGCCTGGGGGAGGGTGGTAGAGAGGCAGGCCTGGGGGTGATGGAGGTAGAGAGGCAGGCCTGGGGGAGGGTGGTAGAGAGGCAGGCCTGGGGTGACGGTGGTAGAGAGGCAGGCCTGGGGGTGATGGAGGTAGAGAGGCAGGCCTGGGGGTGATGGTGGTAGAGAGGCAGGCCTGGGGGTGATGGAGGTAGAGAGGCAGGCCTGGGGGTGATGGAGGTAGAGAGGCAGGCCTGGGGGTGATGGTGGTAGAGAGGCAGGCCTGGGGGTGTGGGAGGTAGAGAGGCAGGCCTGGGGGTGTGGGAGGTAGAGAGGCAGGCCTGGGGGTGTGGGAGGTAGAGAGGCAGGCCTGGGGGTGATGGAGGTAGAGAGGCAGACCTGGGGGTGATGGAGGTAGAGAGGCAGACCTGGGGGTGATGGAGGTAGAGAGGCAGACCTGGGGGTGATGGAGGTAGAGAGGCAGGCCTGGGGGTGATGGAGGTAGAGAGGCAGGCCTGGGGGTGGGAAGTAGAGAGGCAGGCCTGGGGGTGGGAAGTAGAGAGGCAGGCCTGGGAGAGGGAGGTAGAGAGGCAGGCTTGGAGGTGATGGAGGTGAACTGTGGTGGGGAGTTAACACTTTGGAGTTGTCAGGATCACCCCCCCCCACAACTCCCCCCCCCCCTTCCCCATCAATCCCCCCCACAACCCTCCCCCATCCCCCCCCCTACATACACCACACCACTGTCGCCAGAATTGTGACTAATAATAACAATTCTAACCAGTAACTACAGCAAAAGTTTCCCCAACAATGACAATAAAATATTACAAATAAAATAATGACATGTAATAACAGCATTATAGTTATTGTGTTAATTATAACATAAGAAATACAAACAAGAAGCTCAAGAATAAAAGCCAAAAGTATAAATGTAATGCAGTAACAATACAATTGATAATAATATAACAAACACGTCAACAATCATTGAAACAAGTACAATAACAACAATCAAAATAGGCCTCAACGTACGAAAGCTTCGTCAAACACAATCAACCCTTCAAACCAAACCTCTGGCAAACAATGGCAAACAAAATATACTCCATATTATACAAACTACATTCTCCCCAAAGTACCACAGAAAACGGGGCGCCCTTAACAGATAGCAGATGTGAATGACCGTATAGGCCATTAATTACCACACAAACAACACGTGTTAAATACAGACAGATGCACAGACTCGCGGGCGACACGGACTGAGGGAAAGAGAGGCATGCAGGTGAGAGGACAGGTCGACCTCCTCCTGAAACATCCCACAGCGGAAAAAATCTCCACCAAACTCGTTTTATATAAGTAGATTAGTAATGGCAGGGTAATCCATTTTTATTCGCCAGACTATCACGCTGCTCCCACTGCAAAGGTTGCCTAATTACATGCAAATGGACGAGCCTGTGTTAATTATAGGAGGAACACAACCGGTGTATTGTTGCTCCGCGCTCTCTCCCAAAATGGTAAGTGTTTATGTGGCCACTGGCTGTATTATGGCCCGTGTGTGAGTACACGTGTATGGAAGTATGATTTTTGTTTGTTTACGTGTATGTTTTAGGGATGTATGGGAGTATGACAGCGGAGGAAGGGAGAGACGGAGGAACGGGAAGGGTAGAGAGGAGTATAAAAGGGGTGAGAAAGGGGAAAGAAAGAGAATGGGAAGAGAGGGGAGAAGAGAGGGGAGAGAGAGAGGGAGGGAGAGAGAGGGGAAGGGGAAGCGATAAAGAGGGTTAAGGGGGAAAATGGAGTGGGGGGGGGAGATTGTGAAGAGGGAGAGAGAGCGGGGTGAAAGGGGCGAGAAAGAGGGGATGTTAAGGGTGAGAGGTGGGGGGGGGGGGGGAGGAGGGGTGAGAGGTGAAGGAGAGAGGAAGCGTGGTGAGAAAACAGTTCTTATCTGTCTGCAAGACATATTATATATATATATATATATATATATATATATATATATATATATATATATATATATATATATATATTATATTTGTACGTAAGCCCAGCCATATATAACATATACAATACATATGCTCCCTAAGAACATATTCACACATTAAGGAAACAAAAACAGAGACCAGGAAGTTGATAAAAATGTTTTCTCTTGAGTGTTCTTCGCATAATCTAAAGCATTTTTGTCATCAATATCCTAATATTACATTTTCAAATTTGCCTCTCCCCCCCTCCCCTCCCACAAAAAATTATACAAACATTATTTCAGTAAAACAGCAAATTAGGTCATGAAACATGGTCACGGAAATAACGTAATCTTGGGACGTGGTCACGAACACAACGTGTCTTGGACGTGGTCACGAACGTAAGATGTTCATGTGACATGTTCACGAAGGTAAGATGTTGCCACGATGTTGACACGAGCCTGTGGTGGTGGTCTTGAGGAGTTGGCATCAACATAAGGTACACAAGTCTTCAAACCTGGCTACACACTCACACAACTATGGATACAAAAGTATATATTATTTAGTAAGTTAAAGAAGAATATACAAACCTTATAGCCATGCATATATATATATATATATATATATATATATATATATATATATATATATATATATATATATATATATATATATATATATATATATCCTGCTATGGTTGACAACAATTAAGCCCCAACAAAGATAAAGACACATATCTAAGGAAGGAAGTCTGTACTCTGTGATCCCTCACATAAAATAGGGAAGCCGCACACAGCTATGTATCTTAGCTTGTAAATAATATTTAAAAAAAATATATATTGGCCTGCAAGCCTGTAGGTGCTTACAAATTAACTGTTTATTGCCAGCTAACAAACAGGAGAAAATTCAGTAAGCAAACCAGGTAATAAAAGAAAGCGGGAGCGTAAAGCAAGGGTAATAACTTGGAATTGGCATGAAGCAAGGATGCTAACTTGGAATTGGCATGAAGCAAGGGGTGATAACTTGGAATTGGCATGAAGCAAGGATGCTAACTTGGAATTGGCATGAAGCAAGGGGTGATAACTTGGAATTGGCATGAAGCAAGGATGATAACCCGGAATTGGCATGAAGCAAGGGGTGATAACTTGGAATTGGCATGAAGCAAGGTGTGATAACTCGGAATTGGCATGAAGCAAGGTGTGATAACTCGGAATTGGCATGAAGCAAAGGGTGAGAACTAGCACCACATTTTGAGATAACTGACCATGGGTAGAGCAGGGTCCGGGTTCAGATGGCATGCCACCTTAGCCGCGATTAAGAGTCATAGTTGTATTAGAGGAGCATCTTGTACTGCGGACACAATCTGTCTCTCTCTCTCTCTCTCTCTCTCTCTGTCAGTCTTTTTCACTCACTGGGGGCGCTCTCGTCTCTAGCCAACACTCATCGTGTCATAGAAAGTTTACTCTCCTGCACTCACTATGGTGAAAGGACTCGGGCATGTCCAGCCAGTTCCTGCGCGCGTTCAGTGTTTATAGTGCACACTCGGTGAGCGCCTCCACATCTCGGCCAGGCTGTGGCCACTTAAGGGGCACTTTTGTGAGGCTGGGCCTATAATGCTACTCTCCCTTGCGGCACGCACACACATACATAGCCACACACACACACTGCCTCATCACGCAAAACACTTAAAGCAACGACGCAACTGAAAGACTTGTTATTAGTGATCGACTTAAGATTATCATCACGGTTACAGATAGACCCATTGGTAAACAACGTTGTTGGGCTATTGCACTTTCCCGTTAACCACCTGTATTCCCGGATGGCCGCACTATCACAAAAAACAGAATTACTTCCAACTGTATGTAAATATAGTTCCAATTTTCTCGGTAAAGGATAATAGGAGGTAATATGTCGTGTGTGACCCAGGTGTTAGTGATCACTTGCGGGGAGATGTCGGTCTCTACCTAAGACAAGGGTGGACGTGACGCCTTTCACACCCGTAGCCTACTGATCCACCTTGGCCTCATACACAACAGTTAGTGTGCTCAGCGTGGCACTACTTGGCACCACTAACACCTGCTCATTACGGAGTCACGGTAGTATAACCTGCAGACCTCTACGTCTCCGCCGCCAGCCTCGGCAAGGCGGTCGACACAGGCAGATGCAATGTGGCACTAGACAGTGAGGCCGCAAGGAAACTGTGAGGCACCTTCACTATCGAGTGAGGAAAATTATGATAAGCTGATGGTTGGCTGAAGGCGGCGATGGCCGGGACCTCCTCTCGCCTGTCACTGCTCGCGTGAGCCAACCGCTGACACCACGCTATGGCACCACACTGAGTGCCTGCTGTCCCTCTTGCCGAGTGCCTGTCTGCGTGTGTGTCTAGCTGGTGGCACGCCCCGGCCCGGCCTGCTGACTGCCTCGCCTGGCCTGTTGGAGGTGGTGTTCCCGTGGCTCGTGTCACGGCCACTCCTAAATGTGTGTGTGTGTGGCCGTGTGTGCTGGCGTCACTCATGTGCACCTGTGATCACCTCCTGCACACCCCGCGGACTGACGCTCATGTTCACTGCGCCGCTCGTCGAGACCCACTGTAAAGACTAGCGAAAAAACTCAGCGAGTGGGACGAACCCATAAAAAACCCGCGGACAAAAAACGCGCGCGGACTTGCGTTGCGCAGACGGTGGTGCCATCTAGCGGCGGCTCCGCCAACCTGCCAGTTGCCAGACGCCCGCTCCAGCCGCCAACATTTCGCGGTGCTTGAAAATTCATTGCATTTTTAGGTACAGATAAGACCCTTCCATTGCAGATAAGGGTAAAATATAACACATAACTCTCGCAGGCCATAAAATATAGTAGAATTACGAGTGATAACAGTTCTTCTGCATGCGAATAGACAAGACACTAGCATTCACATTGAGTCTATTCAAGCTTCGGAACAATGGCTGTCAATACCGCTATGTTACTCATAATTTAAGAATACACTAGGCATCGATTTAACACAAAACTATTGTAACCCTTTAGGTCCCTACAGATTACTTCCTGTAAAGGTGTTTATGTATACGTGTAGTGACATCGAGAGCGATCCCGAACACGATAGCCACTTGGATAGCATATGACGCAGAAATATAATTGCAGATGAGGACGTTCGCTAATTGCAGACGTATCTCAAGTGGTTTAAGGTGCATATCTTTGTCTCTTTACACATCTCAACATCACCCCAGGAGCAGTCAGCTCGCTGTTGTCGATACCACATGTGTGTGTGTGTGTGTGTGTGTGTGTGTGTGTGTGTGTGTGTGTGTGTGTGTGTGTGTGTGTGTGTGTGTGTGTGTGTGCGCGCGCGCCATTTCACTAACCGTAGAACAACTAATATTGGACCAAACGTCAAAATTTCATATAATACAACAATATTTCCATAAAAATATCCTTAACTCCCATAAAGCGAGGAGCATTAGGATATCCATTTATCAGCGTGTTCCCTTCCTCAGCACATTTCCTCCAGGCCTCGCACGGCAACCATTACTTGTCGTCCAGAACCGAATCTATTGTTCCAGCCCCCATTATCAAAGCCCAATAAGTATCTGTTTAACTTTCTTTCCTAAAACGGCACTATACATACAGGCCGAGGATTCATTATATTTGTAAAGGCAATTAAGCTTACAATAAAATCACAAAGCTCCTTAAAAGTTTGAACGATACATTGTGCAAATGCAGTGCTTAGAGTTGTCAATAAACCTATTTTTATTACATATCAGGAATCAATTCAAAATGTCACGTCTAAAATATGCCTCCGTCGGGTGGACTCCTAGATATTATATTCCTCAATAGAAAAATATAAACCAATATTGATATAAGAGAGTGGTGGAAGGAGTGTGCAAAGTAGATCAAGTAACAAAGTGGTAACGTTAGAGGTTGTGGCGAGGCTCGGCAACTTGCAAGAAACATTACTCCCAGGCGACTCGGGTCTCCCAGAATCATAGAAAATGGGAACTCGAGATGTGCCAAGACAAACTAAAGAATCTCGTTATCTACGACACTTGTAAGCAGATAAAGTTGCAAACAACGCTACATTCATTATGTAAAATACACGCGCACATACATATATTTTCTTTAATACCTTTTGATATGTTGCATGCTGTTATTTCTCAGGTCATTTATAAAATAAATTTGACTGGAATAAATGTCTAGATTATTAGACGGCGTTTTTTTCACGCATTTTAGAATTTCCCATAAAACACCTTCGGAAAAAATGACAGAAAAAGGCTCACTTATACGAACTAAAAATCGAGAACATACCACACTCGACTCCTATTTTGTTGTTGTTGGTAGCCCTATGGACCTGTTGATATCAAAACTATTGTTTTACATGTTACCTTTGTGTGTTGTACCTTAGTGTACCTTAGAGACACAGCTGGGAGCGTAGGTGGCCCTCTTGCCTCCCCCGGGCTGCTCCAGGCTCATGTTGACAACCCAGGCAACACAATAACAACAACAAACACACACATGTACACGTGCAGCGGAAAACCTATACCTAGTTCCTGTGATTGATTGATTGATGAAGATTAAGCCACCCAAGAGGTGGCACGGGCATGAATAGCCCGTAAGTGGTGGCCCTTTTGAGCCATTACCAGTATCAAGAGCTGATACTGGAGATCTGTGGAGGTGCGACTGTACCCTGCGTGACGGGAGATGTCTTCCGTCCTAGTTCCTGTATCAGACCCCAGGCCTAATACCCTGCCTGTACGGGTCACCACCACCCACACATCCACACACACACTCCTACACACACACACACACACACACACACACACACACACACACACACACACACACACACACACCACACACACTCCTACACACACACACACACACTCCTACACACACACACACACACACACACACACACACACACACACACACACACACACACACACACACACACTCCTACACACACACACACACACACACACACACACACACCACACACACACACACACACACACACACACACACACACACACACACACACACACACACTCCTACACACACACACACACACACACACACCACCACCATTAAACTTGGACCCACTGTTAATTAGGAATTTCTTTGCAGTCTTAAACTAAAGGCATGACCGAGGACCTTGATACAACGTGGGTATTGTTGTAAGGATGAGAGTGTGTCTGTGTGTGTGTGTGTGTATTTACTTATATTTACTGTTTGTGTCTGCAGAATCGAGCTATTAGCTCTTGGCCCCCGCCTTTCTAATCAATCTATTTTTACTCTATTGTGTGTGTATATCACGAAAATATACACGTGATTAAAAATGTGAGTGTCAGACCACGGAGGAAAATTGAAACAGCTAAATTCTTACTCTATTGTATCTGCTATATATATTTTTCTCTAACACACGAATACACACACATCCCCAGGAAGCAGCCCGTAGCAGCTGTCTAACTCCCAGGTACCTATTTACTGCTAGGTGAACAGGAGCATCAGGGTGAAATAAAACTGATCATTTTGTTTCTGCCTCTACCGGGGGATCGGATCCGGTAGATAGGACTACGACTCCCGAGCGCTGTCCACTCAGCCGCGAGGCCCCTGTGTTCTCACCTAGTTGCGCTTTGTAGGTGGTTGAGCTTTGGCTCTTTGGTCCCGCTTTGGCTCTTTGGTCCCGCTTTGGCTCTTTGGTCACGCTTTGGCTCTTTGGTCACGCTTTGGCTCTTTTGGCTCCCGTGTGTGTGGGGGGGGGGGAGAGAGGGAAGGTGTAAGGGGGTGTTTGTCTATACAAGAGTGAGTGTGTTCGAAAAGGTCACTCATTCAGCCCCGCTCCTGTGCCAGGTAAGTCCACTACGGGCTCACCATAGCCCGTGCTACTTGTTACTTGTTCCGAGTAGCTGAATCTATAACAACAACAACAACAACATCGAAGAGATGTCTGACTAGCAACAGTGATCGAAGCAGAGCGTGACATTTATGAATGTATCCCGTTGGTAAGTTTTTCATTTCACTTGTCAAGAGTTATGTTATGTATAAATTAATGCCACACATGTTGTAATCATGTACAACAACGTTCACAATCATATAGGGACTGGTTACCTTACCTTGAGGTTACCTTGAGGTGCTTCCGGGGCTTAGTGTCCCCGCGGCCCGGTCGTCGACCAGGCCTTCTGGTTGCTGGCAGCAGAAGCAAATACTCAAGAGATCGGGGACTAATGATACATTCTCCGAATGCACTCTATTTGCTTCTCCGAGGCTATGGATATATATATATATATATATATATATATATATATATATATATATATATATATATATATATATATATATATATATATAAAATTCCCCGGCTGCCTGATGAAGCGAAAGAAGGGAACAAGAAAAAATTAAGGTTAAAAAGCGAATGAATGAAGAGAGGGAACACACTAAAAATACGCCAGGGGGAAGGGGAGATAAAACAAAAGAACAAGCAATAGCGAGGGGCGAGTCAAAGCTCAATAAAGAAAAGCAATAATGTCGATAAAAGAATAATAAAAGGAGGGAATAAAGGGGGAAGAGGGGGCGGCCGAGAGATGACCAAGAGGATAATAAAAGGTAAGTAATTGGGGGAATGGAGATTAACGAGTGAACGGGGGCGGACGGAATTGATTGGAAGCAAACACCAAAAGGGAGGAGGCATAGCGAACGAGGGAAAAAGGGGAAGGGAAAGGGGGAACCAAAATAAAAACAGATATGAATAAGGGAGCGAAGGGGGAAGGATGATGAATAGTGGCGTACCAAGTCCTTTAACCCAATCCAGGCATTAGAAACACCGCTCCAGCCAGGGAGACAGGAGACGGTAGACAGACACAGACGCAGACTACGGGAACGGAGACAGAACGCGGTAACAAGAAGACACGGAGTGAGAGACAACAAGGTCCCAGGTACAACAAGGTCTCAGGTACAACAAGGTCCCAGGTACAACAAGGTCCCAGGTACAACAAGGTCTCAGGTACAACAAGGTCCCAGGTACAACAAGGTCCCAGGTACAACAAGGTCCCAGGTACAACAAGGTCTCAGGTACAACAAGGTCTCAGGTACAACAAGGTCTCAGGTACACACCCGAGGTACCAAAGGAGAGGGAGAAGGAAAGATAAGAGACGGACGCGCTAATTTGATAAATGCCACAGGGCGGACCTACTTCGCCAGGCTAACAAAATCAACACGGAGGAGGGTGCATCAAATGAAGGGCTTATATAAAGATGGGAGAGTAAAAAGGAAGAGGCGAGAAGGGGAAAGAGTTGGCAGTGAAAGTGCTACACACTGAGAAACCAATAAAGGTTAAGAGGGAATAGGAATAAAGAAGCTGAGAGAGGGGAGGGAGGCAGATAAGCGCAAGGGGAACTCTGCCACGCACCGAGTATAACTAATGGATAAAGCCAGCCACGCTGCAGGTAGGTATAATGGATAAAGCCTGATATACTGCGAGTATAACTAATGGATAAAGCCTGATATACTGCGAGTATAACTAATGGATAAAGCCAGCCACGCTGCAGGTAGGTATAATGGATAAAGCCTGATATACTGCGAGTATAACTAATGGATAAAGCCAGCCACGCTGCA